CCCTGGTGTACTGGTAGTTCGAATTGGAGAGCCTAATTCGAACTACCTACTCCGTGCCGCGTGTAGTCCCGGGCACGGTGTCCGCACTAAGGGGGATTTAAAAATGAAGCCCGGGATATTTAAGTCTCGGGCTTCATTTGCAACTTCGAATGCCTACATTAGCCACCCTAGTTTGAACTAGGGTGGCAGGGTAGACATACCCCTAGTCCTAACCTGATGCCCTACCAGCACTGGTTCCGGCCAGCCTTAACTTAGGTTCAGGGTCCACTCAGTGTGGACGCGTTATTTTGAAATAGCAAAATGCTATTTTGAAATAGATTTTGTGTGTAGGGGTGTTAATTCAAATTAAGTTAACTCGAATTTATGCTGTAGTGTAGATGTACCCTTTCTAATTTAGCAAGGAAGGTAAATAGCCTTAACTAGCCCCCACACCACCTGGTTCCTTTTCTTGGGTAAATCCAAATTTTCATATATTTGGAAGCTAGTAGAGTGGAATGTTGTTTAAGCCATCTTATTTTAATTGCAAAATTCTAGCTCTTTTAATTTTATTCCTATTCTTTAGAGCGTCCTATTGCTTTACAAATGCCGGTCCGTACTTTCCCCGGTTTTTACCAAATTACTTGACTTTTATCTCGATCCCAGCCGATGAACAGCTGAGTTTGGTTTGTAAAATGCTTAGGGACAGTCCAGGGGTTACCAAATGCCCATCCCAGCATCACCCTTCAGTCCTTATCCCTTCCTCTCTTGCCACTCCTGAAAAGTGACATGGTTCCCAAATCTCCTGGACCTGTCATGACACCAATTGTCATGTGTTTCTATTTATTTTAGATCCAAGGGAAACCAGAACACTCCAGAGAGACTTAAGCACTTTCTTATTTATTGCAAGCTTTCAGCAGTTAATATGGTTGTTTAAATTTCACAAACCTTAAAAACAATTACTATACAATTTAAACTTTAAATACTATAAATTCTAAAGCAATTAATACAGTGCAGAGCAATGCAAAAGCAATGAATAGAAGATTATTATAATACAGTAAGTAAGCCTAGTTCACTTACACTTCACCCATATGCTATTGTATGCCAGCTACAATACCAGGCAGAAGGTCGAGGATTCCCACCCATTGGGACGTCATACACTGGTGTGAAGGGCCTATTTACTTCTAAAACAACGAGAAGTCCCATGGCACCTTATAGACTAACAGATGCATCTGATGAAGTGGGTCTTTGGTGCCTCCCTGCTCTGGGATGGACAACTCCCCTGAGGAACTGGGAGTAAGCACCTGGGCTTTTCGCCTCTTGGCTGGGAAAAAAAATCAGAAAATACTAGACATTTTATGTGTCCGATATTTTCTGATTTTTTTTTTTTTTTTTTTTTTTGTGCAGGTTCAGACTAATATGGCTACCCCTCTATTTACTTCTAGTTACAATGAGCAGGACCTGTGGGTCAATCTCATCGATTCTTCTTACTAAGCCCATTTTATAGCAAAGCGAGACTTGGTCGTTCTAATAATATTTACCAATTGATTACGTATTGTATAAGATAACTAAGATGCCCAATGCCCTTATTTGGGGTACACCCTGCTACTCAGGATGTTGCAAAAACTATGTGCATAGTTAACAGTTTTATGGCTGCATGTGTAATTTTTGCTTATCCGAAATAGAAGTGCTGAACACTGCTTCTTTTTGTTCCCCCTTACCCTCCCCCCTCACTTCTCTCCTGTTTAATTTTAGTTCTGGACATCCAACACTCCTATCATCTGAAGAAGCGGGCTGTGCCCACAAAAGCTCACAATACTTTCTACATGTTTTGTTAATCTATAACGTGCTTCCAGACCATTTGTTGTTTTTTTAAGTTTATCCTGTACAGACTAACTCGGCTACCCTCTGAAGCAGTACAAGGTTGATTGTCATATGTTCTTGACATGGTCTCGTGTGCCATGCTTAATCTGCATTGTTATGCAAAACATTCCTGCCTCTCAAAGCTTCTCCCTGAGCCTTGCCTGCATGCTTACATGCACCAGGCTTGAGACAGGTGTGGGTTTTGCTTGTTAGAGATCCGCACTGTGGTCAAGGCAAACATCACCATTTATTGTCACGGCAGGGCCATCCAGGCTCCCCTGCAATGGACCATCTGAATAAGAGCAGCACTGACTGAAACAAGGAATGCATCACAAAATCACTGACACCACTTGCATCCACTTCCCTTTTAGGGGGTGGAGCCGGGGGGTGCTCGATCATCGGCTCCACCCCCCATTCCACCTCTTCCCCCAAGCTCCTATCCTGCCTCTTCCTGCCCCCAGCTTGCTTCTTCCCCCTCCCCACCAAGTGTGCCTTGTCCCCACTCCTCCCCTCCTTATAGGAGTTTCTTGAACACACAACAGCTGACTATGGCAAGTGGGAGGGCACGGGAAGAGTTGGTTAGCAGGGCCACTGGCTGCTGATGTGCACTGGGGGGAGGTGGAAGCTTTCTTCTAATTTTTCCAACCCCAGCACACCCACACAGTCAGCAACTATGAGTGACATCTCCACGCTGCCCCTGTGCCATGCAGATCTCAGCACAGAAAGATCTGTGGCCAGATGTGCTCTTGGACAGAGTGACATATGGATTGCACTTGTCAGGTTCCCAATCAGAAGGAACAGGGGATAATTCACAACCCATATTATAGGCTGCTCACCCATATTAGGCGTAGAATAAATACATTGGCTGTAATGTGCTTCCTTTTATATTTGCAGATTGGAGTCTGCATTCCCTAAGAAGTGAAGGGACCTCAGGGCATGAGAGAAACTATGCATCCCTGCCTCCTGGAGACCCATGTTATGATGATGTTGAAGCTGGTGTTCCTAAGACATCAATATAAGAATGACTGAGTTCAGAGCAGCAATCCTGTGAAGATAGAAATGTTGTATGATTAGACTCTCTCTCTTCTGAATGCTCACTGCTCACTGGGCATCAGAGATGGTCCCTGCTATTGATCTAGTTCACTCAGCTTTTATATTGGGCTTTTAGGTAGTTGCAACAAATACAAGCGTGACTGAGACAGGGTCTGTGATTTTTCACTGTAATTTCTCATTGATCTGACTGCCGGAAACTTGTCCTGCTTTTTTAGTCCTATTATTGCTTCACCGTGGGTTTTTTTCATATTAAATCCTTTTAGAAAGTTTATTGCAGGAATGGTGCATCTCTCACAAGGTGCATAAGGAGGCTCCCTGGGCTCAGAAGGGAGTGAAATGGAGAATGACCCACCAACAAATAATAATTGAAAAGTGTCACCTCTGGGTATTGCTGGTTGTTCAATGGGCTGTTAGATGGAGAACAAACATTCTGTCAGCCGTGTGGTCAGAGGCAATGACTCCATGTGTGCTTCTGGGTGTAAGCACCCACAGAAATAAAACAGTGGGTGCTCAGCACTCAGGATCCAGAGTTTCAGTGTGGAACATGAGGAGTTCTGTGCTGCTAACAGCTTCTACCTTTGGGCAGGGAGTTTGTTTATAAACAGAGGCAGGGGGATTAAAATAATAACAGGCTTCTTAGGCACTCCAGCAAGAGGATAGGAAACAAAGGGTAGGAATAAGTGGCCTGTTTTCATAATGGAGAGAAGTAAGTAATGGTACCCACCGGGGCTTTTACTGGGATCAGTGCTGTTATAAATATTCATAATTCATGAATTATCTGCAAAAAGGGGTAAACGGTGAAGTGGCAAAGTTGCAGATGATATGTAATTACTTCAGAATGCTATATACTTTGGATTTAACTAAGAGTTACAAAGGGATCTCACTAAACTGGGTAACTTGTTAACAAAATGGCAGATGAAATGTAATGTTAAATGCAAAGAAATGCACATGGAAAAATATAATCCCAGCTATACATACAAGATGATGGTACCTATCTTAGCTGTTACCTTGAAGAGATCTTGGAGTCATTTGCAGGACTCTGGAAGCATTATGTTTCCGTATATTTTATAAACCAGCAGCCTTATAAAAAAATGCTAGTGAGTGAACTGAGTGAGCTATGAACCACAGTGTGACTAACAGATGGAGTTTGTTTGGATACCATCCAAGAGGTGCAGTGGGGAGTGCTTCATTAGGGGACTGCATTGTGAGCTGGTGGAGTGAACATCTGAGTGTTTGCTGTGACCGTTTGTTTGACTGTACCTAGTTGCAGGGACTGTTTGGGTACGTCTACACCTCAGTCCTATTTCAGGATACTGTCCTGAAATAGCTATTCTGTGTCTTGATAGCGCTCCCGTTATTTCTAAATATCTTTGGAAATAACAGGCACACTGTTCCGACATCCTAGTAAACCTCGTTCCATGAGGTTTAAGGGATGTTTTGGAATAGTGTTTTTTGAAATGTGGCGCTGTGTAGCCAAGTCTGGCGTAACTCAAATAGCGTAGATTATTTTGAGCTAAGGGTACAGTGTATATGCACCCTTTGTGTATTTGTTTGTTTGTAAAGTGTGAATTGGGAGTGCTTTTTTCCAGATGGGCCTTGAGTGGATGATTGGAGGGAAAGCTTGGATCCAAGCCAACTGCTTTGCGCCAGCAGCCTTAAAAAAATGCAGACAGTTGTGAAAGGAGTGTGGGGCAAACAGAGGACAGACAACCAGAAGAAGTTTGCTTGGGAATTCACCTGTAGGAAACTGGAGTTCCCATAGTTCTTTTGCCTTCAGGCTTCTTTCTATGAGCAGCAAATACAACATCTGAAGAGGGTCCTAGATGGAATACAATATGGATAATGATCAGTCAATTGTTGTGATCTACAAAGGAAGTGTCATAGTTGTCTTTCTCCCAGAGGATAGAAGAGACTTTGTCTGTATGAAGTCCAAGCTAGTCTCCATATTGGAAGATAAGTTTAAAGGACTAGACACACACCTATCCATCCTGCACATTGCATCACAGAAAACGAACAATTTCTAGATTGAAGTCAATGTTTGGTAGTGCAGGCACAGCATGGTGAAGAATCAGAGAAGGCTGTGCAGAGCAGAGAGAAAAAATTGGCAGAATGTGACCTCCTGAAGAAGAAAGAGGAGAATTCATGTGCCCCCAATGCAGATAGAGATACGAAACCACTTTTAGTCTTTCTGCATAGGTACTGCTGTGAAGAACGGTTTGGAAGAGTCATATGAGGGAAGGGATCAAAAGGAGACCCCATCAAATAGAAGGCCTGGGTCGCATTGTCCTAGGAGTGGGGGTTCCATGATGACCATTTCCCAAGAGGAGAAGGTTGTTGGTGGTCAGGGTCTCCCTTGAAAGAGGGATGGAGTCATCCATCTGCTGTCCAGGCTGGAAAACTCAAGAAGTGTGCTGGTTGCATAGAGCCAGAATTCAGGTTATGTCTGCCGAGACTGATCAAGCCATTAGACTGCTATCCCTTCCTATTTCTTCATGTAGGCACCGATGATACTTCCAAGAATGATCTTGAGTGGGTCACTGCAGGCCATGTAGCTCTGGGAAAAAGAATAAAGGTGTTTGAGGAAAAAGCCTCCTCCCTGATGAATGAAAATGTGCAGGTAGAGACCATCAAAATGTGGAGGTAAATGTGTGGTTGCACAGGCTGTTAGGCAGAGGATTCTTTAACCATAGGGTCACAGAATCATTTTTTGAGGAGTACAGAATGAAGGAATAGAATCCGGACACCATACATGAAGCAAGCAGGAGTTTATTGCACACACAGCACTAGGTGGAGTGTCACTTGCTAAGTTCAGTGAACACTGCCAAACAATAGGTTACAGCTAGTTATATAGGATGCTCAATAGGCAGATCAAAGTGATGGAGGAAGGGAGATCCCAGACGCCCTGGATAGATGCTAATAGTAAGGAAAGATAAGAGCAATAATATAAAGTTACATAATGTTTTCAGTAAAACAAGTATTTAAACAAAGCAGACATCAATTATCAATTAAGTGGTGATATGTCTGTCAGCTTCAAGAAGGTATCTATGCAGGATGTGGTACATCTGGGGATTAAAGCAGAGACATTAGCATCATCAAATGTGTCTTGTCCTGCCTCCCATCCTGGGTGATGGCTTTCCGTTGATGGGCTAGACTGGTGGGGAAGGGGAATAACCATGTACTGTGTTTGTGTGCCATTCCCAGAGTCTGAATTTAGATTGAGTTCTTAACAGAATATCATAGCCTGCCTCAGAAATTTTCATCCTACACAGGAGCTGCTGAAAAAGCATTGTTGGCAGAGCCGCGGCTACACTTTACTTTCACTTTCAACACTGAGCCTGATCAGCACAGCATCGGAACATGAGTATGCAAATGAAGACCGGGATATTTAAATCCTGGGCTAATTTGCGCTTCTGAAGTGCTTGATTTGCAACCCTGTGTCGGCAGAGGGATGCAGTCTAGATGTAGCCCCAGAGGCTAGCGCACTCTGTCACAGGGATGGACAACCACAAATAGCAAGTAGGCTGCATGAGTGATGCTCCATCATCTCAATGAGGCAGCAGCCTGCAGCCCACTGGGGTTCCATCTGCAGCCCTGTGGCCCCCTATCTGTCCCCCTTCCCCACATGCCTCTCGCACAGTTACCTGCTCCCCCCAGCATTTTCAGAGCATTACGAATTACCTGATTTGCACTATGTCCCTGCTCCTCCCCCTCTCTCCCAGAGCTGGAATGCCCACTGTGAATCAGCTGTCCCAGTTCTGGGAGGGAGGGAGATGACCCAGGACAGAGCACGAATCAGGTGTTTTGCAACTCCTCTGAAAATGCTTAGAGAGAGGAGGGAAGCCTAGGAAATGGAGGAAGGGGGAAGCAAGGGAGTCCATGGGCCACAAGTGGAGCCCCAGTGGGTCACATGCAGCTTGCAGGCAACAGGTTGCCCACCACTGCTCTATCATCATGTGGAGACCTGGGCTCATTTCCCAGCCCTGACTAACTTCTCATGGATAAAGCACTGCAACTGCCCCCTACTTCAAGATAGGGCCAGTCTCAACCTGCAGCATCTCTCCCCAGGCTTGCCCTGTCTTCTGCAGGTATCTCTGGTGTGCACCTGGTGGGTGATCAAGGCCCCTGTGCAGGGCCTGTGGAGGTATATCTCCAGGGTAGGTGGGGCACTGTGCAGCCTGGGCTGGGGCACCACATCCTCTGCCATCCTCTGTGACAGTCTGGACTGCGGATCATTGCTGGAGACATTGGCTATGCCAGTGTCAGTGTCAGGTCACTCACTGGCACTCCACGGCCTGCTCTGTGGCCCTGCAGACTGCAACATCTCTCAGTGTGGCTCATGGCTGTCGGTCAGGAAGCTCCACACTGATGTGAATGCTGTGGTGGTGGTCTGCTCGGACACAGGTGTGACACAAGGACTTGTCTTGATCCCACCCCGATCTCTGTCCCTTATTCTCCCCAGTCCAAGGCAAGGCTTGGGGAAGACAATGGTGAAGGGAGAGAAGGTTTGAGTGAGTTCCTGAGTCCTGTCGAAGCAAAAGCCTCACTCAGTTTTAGGCGGCTAAACAGACAGCTTTATTGATCAGTAAAGCAAAGTGAGTCAAACATGGTCCCAGCAGAGCCGGGCCCAGTAAGGCTGCTAATACAATCAGTCCTAGTATCTCTATACCCTTAGCCAAACAGTCTGACGTCAGGGCATCCAATTACAGAAATCCTCTATTAAACTAGGAAAAACATAACCTTATCAGCAAGATGGCGGACAGGCATGAGGGAGTACATCTCCTGTCCCAACCAGCCCAATTAACACATTCCAATAGCCCATCCTGTAGGCCTCTTTTCACGGGGTGACAGAAAGTTCACTCTGGTCTACGTGCCAAAGAGAAAAGCTGAAATGGTTTCTGTTATACAAGATGGCTTCTAGCTAAATATGAAATGGTTTCTACAGTCCTATAGTCCCAAGAAGTGGGACATAGCCAAGCTAGCAAACCTGTGGAGGGGAACGTCTCCCTCCTTCCTGCCTCCTACCAGCAGCAGTAAACCTATGGGATTACCACGTGGGTGCTGAATGGTGCTGCTGTCTGTGATACACCGGTGGTCAGACTAGATGATCTAGGGTTCCCATGACTCTATGGGAATATTCCTGGATAGCAGAGTAAGTCTGGGAAAGATGACTAGCTGGGAAAGGGAACTGCGAGTTGGTGGGGATGGGGAGTGTTGTATGTTTGGGAGAATGGCTCTACTCTGGCTCTTCACAGCCTTTGAAACCCTGTAGTTTGGGCTCTGTGTGTGAAGCGCCACAAGGAGGCAGATTGCATTTGAGAGCTGAAGGTTTTCCAGGGCTGAATTTTGGGATGCAAGTTTTAAATTCAGTGAGAAGAATTATGGATGCAACTGAAATTTGGGGTGAAGGTTCTAATTTTGGAATTTTGGTTTGTCCTGCTGACTCCCCCCTC